ACCCCTGATGGGACTCAAGTCAGGGAGGTGTAAGGTTATGTTTTTCTAGCCTCTTTTGGGTGCCGTTCCCAGGGTTCATCACGATAAAAATGTTTTTTTTGGCCTGGCGTGGGAAGCTCAACGCCTGTAATCCTAGCACTTTTTTGGAGAGCGCCGAAGGTAGGCAGATCAGGTTGAGGGGCACAGGAGTTTTCTTTTTTGAGGACCAGCCCTGGTTCCAAGCATGGCGAAGCCCTGTCTCTATTAAAGCTTACAAAAAAATAAGCTAAGGCTGGTTAGCACCGGGGCCCACTAATCCAGGCTACTGGGGGGAGCGCGAGGCACAAGAATCACTTGAACCCAGAGCGCAGAGGTGCAGCTTGAGCCAACATCAGATGCCACTGCCACTAGCTAGTGACAGCTGGCGTGACAGTGAGCACTGATATTTCATTTTTTTTTTAAAAGGGTGAGGCGGGGGCTTTGTTTTTAAAGACCAGGTTTTCTCGCCTCAGCGTCGGCCGGTGGACTCACGCCCTATAATTCCCAGCCACTCCTGGGAGGCGACGTGCAGGGTGGTCAATTGGACGATCAAAGCGAATCGGAGACCATCCTGGCAGCATGTTTTTGGTGAACCCACTACTAAAAAATACAAAATCTTAGCTGCATTAGCCAGGCCAAGTCCAGCACTCGGCCAGCGCTAAGAGACCGGAGAATCATCTTTTGAATCCTGGGAGGTGGAGGTTGCAATGAGCCCGAGGGCTGCACCCTGCACTCAGCCTGGGCAACAGAGTGAGACTCCACTCTTAAAAAAAAATAGATTAATTAAAATAAAAAATACAAGACAAGTTCTTGCTCTGTCTGCCCAGGCTGGGTCTCAAACTCTTGGCCCAAGCAGTCCTCCTTGCCCCAGCCTCCCAAAAGTGCTGGGATTGCAGACTGTAGCACCGATGACCCAGCCTTAAAAACAGTATTTTAAGGAACATGCCTGGCTGGGGCGCGGTGGCCTCATGGCCTGTAATCCCGACTTTGGGAGGCCAAGGCAGGTGAGATCAATGACTTGCGGTCAGGAGATCGGGACCTCCTCGGCCAGCAGTGAAACCCCCCGTCTTCTCTTAAAAATTTAACAAAAATCTAGGCCGGCGCGGTTTTTTGGCTCACGGCCCTGTAATGCCAGCACTTTGGGAGTTGCGGAGGCGGGGCGGATCCCAAGGGTCAGGAGATCGAGACCATTCCTGGCTAACACGGTAACCCCGTCTCTTTTACTAAACAATACAAAAAAAAAAAATATTGTCCGGGCGCTCGCTGGCGGGCGCCGTTTAGTCCCAGCTACTCAGGAGGCTGAGGCAGGAGGAATGGCGTCTGAACATTGCGGAGGCGGAGATTTCAGGTGCAGCCGAAATTGCGCCACTGCACTCCAGCCTAGGGGCAACAGAGTGAGACTCCGTCTCAAAAAAAAAAAAAAAAAATACAAAAATTAGCTGGGCATGGCTGGCACGCACTGTAGGTCCAGGCTACTCAAGGGAGACTTTGAGGCAGCGCAGAATCACTTGAACTCGGGACATTGCCGGGAGTGTTGCAGGGAGCCAAGATCACGCCCGGCCATCCAGTCCTGGGCAACGAAGCGAGACTCCGCTCTCAAAAAAAAAAAAGAAGAAGAAACTGCCTGTTCGTCTCCAAAATTCTCCTTAGGAGTTAAGGTTACAGTTAGCCTGGAACTATGGTGTTGCTCTTTTTGATGCGCTGTCGCTATGGCCCGAATGCTCTGGACATTAGTTGTAAGTTTCTTCATCTATATATAACCCCTGATCTTTCAGCGAAGACGCGTAGACTTCGGCTGCTGCCTCGATAGTTTCCCCTTGGCCGACAATATCAAAAGGGTAAAGAAGTGCGGTGGAGAGACTGGTAGGCAGACCACATCGTTTTGTGTCATTTGAGTGATGGAGATTGGGCGCTTGGCATTGAAACAGCCGTTGAGGGTTCAGGTGGTTTTCATCCCTCTTCAGAGGCTTCGGCATGCAGCAACGATGGCTGTCTCGCAGATTAAAATATTTGTGTCTGAACAACTGTGTATAGCATCAGTACTGATATGATTCATGCTCTTTCTCGAGAAATCTCCAATCGTTTTGTCTTAGAATCCTTTCAAACGCGGTGTTGAACTTGCGAGGACAAGTGCATTGACAGCCACTTGACTGTATCTGGTGCCCTCACGCAACTCAGTCATTGGTGGATTTAGACTCTGCTCTGGTGGGGCCCTCATTCCTGTGGTTTTCATTTTCTTTATATTCATTTGAGCGAGGTCTCACTCTATCACCCAGGGGCTGGAGGCAGTGGCACGCATCTTGTCTCACTGCAAACCTCTGCCTCCCAGGGTTCAAGGCGATTCTCCGCCTCCAGCACTTTGAGAGGCCGAGGTGGGCAGATCACCTGAGGTTGGGAGTTGAAGACCAGCCTGACCAACATGGAGAAACTCTGTCTCTACTAAAAATATGATAAAAAGTTAGACAGGCATGGTGGCACATGCCTGTAATCCCAGCTACTCAGGAGGCTGAGGCAGGAGAATCGCTTGAACCTGGGAGGCAGAGGTTGCAGTGAGACAAGATCATGCCACTGCACTCCAGCCTGGGTGATAGAGTGAGACCTCGCCTCAAATAATAATAAAAGAAAATGAAAACCCAGGAATGAGGCCCCACAGAGCAGAGTTCCTAAATCCACAACTGACTGAGGTGCGTGAGGGCACAGGAACAGTCAAAGTGGCTGTCAATGCACTTGTCCTCCAAGTTCAACACCTTGAAGGTATTCTAAGACAAAAGCAAGATTGGAGATTTCTCAAAGCAGAATCAACATATGATGCTATAACAGTTGTTCAGAAAAATATTGTTAATCTGGAGAAGCATGTTGCTGCAGCCAAGCCTGAGAGGGAGAAAACCACCTGAACCCTCAACGCTGTTCATGCCACAGCCCAACTCATCCTCAAATGACACAAAACGATGTGGTTCCACCAGTCTCTTCCCAACCAGCACTTCTTTACCCTTTTGATATGTCGCCAGGGGAAACTATCAGCAGCAGCAAGCTACGTCTGGACTCATGGATTCCACCCATGCCTTGGGCTATCCAAGTGCTGGATTACAGGCATGAGGCAGACCGCGCCCAGCCAGGCAGTTCCTTAAATACTGTTTTTTAGAGCTGGGCATGTGTGCTTACAGCTGCAATCCCAGCACTTTTGGGAGGCTGAGGGCAGGAGGACTGCTTGGGCCAAGAGTTTGAGACCAGCCTGGGCAAAGACAGCAGACTTGTCTTTATTTTTTATTTTAATTAATTAATTTTTTTTTAGATGGAGTCTCACT